ATTATTCTCCTTTAATAAAATGATACATATTTCTTTCCCATCAATTTAAATGAGAATAATCAATGTAGAATGTGCAAACATTCAAAATCATGAGTTAAAAACTGCTGACTATGAGAGTATAAATATAAAAACCTAACAGAGCGGAGCGGCGCGGCGTGCTGCCATCGCGAGAGGCTCACTGGCGCCTACAAACCTAAGTGGATACTTCAAGCATTGTGCAATGCGTGAAGTATCTACTTAGGTTTGTAGGCGCCGACGCGCGTTTTGCGCTGGCCGCCCGTCCTCCGTGCGGCGGCGCCTGAAGCAACTATTTCACAACAGAGGTGTTGCACAGTATTTTACGAAATTGGACGTATTAAGAATGACAGGCATCCTTTAAAGGTACAGATCTTTCCTCGCAAAATAAATCAAGATACTTATCGTACACTTGAAAAATCTAACAGCCTTTAGCTGAGGCAAATATACAAGTTTATCCGGTTCAGGTATGACAAGGTGGGAAAATCTTGAAAGATAATTAAGTCCTGTTACACCAAAAAGGTGTAGAGAGTTTTAGTGAATTTTGCCTCATGGAATTGACGCTCCCCCATTTTTACCAAAACTCTCAACTATATATTGTTCTCCGTTGGACCAAACAGACGAAACAAAAAAAGAAGCAAACCCTCATTCTTCCTAGACATTTTACATTTCCATCCAAAAACGTCGTGAGCAATTGTCGTTTGTATTTACATGTGGGCCAATTAACTTTAGGTCTCAACTGGCACGTGGACCAAAACTCCCATGCCGAAAAAAGAATCCGAGATAAGTGTCGAACCCTACGTATTTTCAGCGTAGATTCGATTGCGTCTGGTCGCGAGACCCGCCGGAGCTTCCTGAACTGAGAAACGAGTGCTTTTGACTGTTTTGCTTGTATCCCAGTATCCGCTGATTGGGAGCTCGGATGAACTCGTAAAGCGAAAATCCGACTCAACGGGTCATTTCAAGGGGGACTAGCTTGTTTTCGGCCCCATCGGGGAACTTTTCATTTTGACCCCCCAAAGTTAGTCCCTGTCGAATATTTTCAATTTTCGACGAAGGAAAAACAATTTTGAGATCAGTGTCGAGGCTTACATAGTTCGAGGCGTTTAATTGAATGCGTCTGGTTCCAAGACCTGTCGGAACGCGCAGGTCCAAGAATGGACCACTAGACAAGGTACGAATTTAAGCAATCTGATACATGTTTCTTTACCAGAATTACAAGTAGAACATTATTCACACAACGAGTATTACTGAAACCAACTCCTAACGAAGATATTAACGTTTTTATATCACATTGGTTACGAGGAATTTGCCATGCCCACTCACAAGAAACTCAAAGCTCTGCTTGAGTCAAATCGCGCATTACAACGGTTTCAGCAAGCTTCTCAATCGAGCAATGTTCATTTCCCATCATGTGTTGTTCAAACCACGAAAAAGTTGCTATAGCTGAGCCAAACCGTCAAGTTTGAGGTATTCAGGTTTTTACATAGCAGATACTATCATGATAAACGTTTAGCGCGCGATGTGAATCACGTAGAGCATTGAATTTTCATGGGCGGGTGGTTTGAATTCACGCATCAAGAATCATTAAATATCTTCGTAAGGAGTTCATTTCGGCAATTTTGATTGTGCACATCGTGTTCTACGTGAAATTTCAGTTAAGAATCATGTATCAGAATGCTGAAATTCGTATCTTGTCTAGTGGTCCATTGAGTGTTTTTGACCATTTCTCAAAGGTAACCGAACTCGTGCCAGTCGCGCTGGGAATGCTGGGATGTCGCAAGGTGGATCGAGTCAATGGGAGCGGTCGGGCATAATTTGGAAACTTGAAAAGCTTATGACTCCGTTCTAACAAATTTTCCATTGGTTTCCTCGTAAATTTTTTTTTTCAGAGACACTCCATGAACTTCAAAATTTGACGAATTAAATAACGAATTGATTTTTTGACGAAATAACGAAGGTCTTCAAAAATGTCCTACGCGTGAGGTTGATTGACGAGATGCCTGAATCAATATTAAGATATGTTTTCCAGCGCGAGGACATGAAGTAAACAAGGAAAAAACCCTCAAAATATGAATTTTTTAGTAAAAAATTTATGAGCGACCTTTCTTATTGACTCGATCCAATGCGTGTCGGATCGACGTACATATGTGCCTGGGGTCAATCACGGAGCAATTTGAGGTCACTCACAGAGCCTCTGAGTAGTATCTCCTATCATTTTCGCATTTTTTGGTTTTCGAATTCTTCTATTTTCTACCTATTGGCGATAGATCTATGATGTAACCCATTCAAAGTCATGTAGATTTGCTGACTGTAACAAAGAAATCAATATTTACGAAGGCTTTTTGGGAAAATTTTTGGGTCGTGTAAGTATAATATTTTGAGGTTTTTTTGTCTTGTTTACTTTAAATCCTCGTGCTGGAAAACATATCTTAATATCGATTCAGGCATCTCGTCGATCACCCTCACGCGTAGGACAGTTTTGAAGACCTTCGTTATTTCGCAATTTTTCGGAGCAGTTCTCCATTTTATAGTGATCCACATGGAGCATTCATGAAATTATCAAATCACCTAAACTTTCATCCAGTATTTTCCATTTAAATTTTTGAAAGAGGATTCCACCATCTGCTTCTTTTCAAGAATTGAAAGTTTCTATAATGGATGGCTGAGCTTCGTTTCAGTGGTAAGAATCCTTGATCATAAGTCGATCCAACATTTCACGCAGGATTTTTGAAAAAATAATAAAATAATAATAATAAAATAATAAAATAATTGCATTGAAATAATAATATTATTAAAATTGGCTTTTATGATAATGGAGAAGAAGATATTTGAATTTTTACTAAATTGCAAAGAATGCCTGATCAGCTTATGATCCTGCGAGACATTGGCAACTTTTGCAAGTTAGCAACTCCTGGTTTGACACATATTTAATACATGTAAAACAAGCAATAGTTTTTGTGACCGGCTGAAGTCAATTATTCGCAAGAGATTTGGTGGGAACCTTGTTGCCAACTGGTGAAAATTACCACGGATGACATGCGAACGAGTTTCTTTTTGGGAAAAAAAAAACTGGGCCATCAGATATTTACAATGGTGAATCTTGAGATCTGACTCATTTTCAAATCGTAAAAAGGAGAGAAACAGAATAAAGTCGAGAGAATAACAGATACATTGTAAAACTTCTGGTTCTATTTATCAAATCAAATGAATACACTGGTAAATTTTACAAAATATGATGGATGACATCGATAATTTCTATGCAATTTGTACAGGAACTTAAACCTCTACCGTAATATATATATCAATAATTTACACGGTTTTATTCCCAAAGCTCCTAGCGAGCCCCTTATATAATACGTCAGTATATGCATTCCTCAATACTCTTATTTACATTTTGGAAATATAGAGGTAATATTTCACCGCTGGATACAGAAAAAATAAATTAAATCTATTGAGACTCCTGTAAGCTACAAAGTGGCTGATCTAGGAGCATTTACAACCCTCTTAGAACCTATAATATTTTCATGGCTAAAAAACAATTTACAAGCTATATTAATAAGAGAAAGTCAGCTATAGAGGACAAGGTTTGAAAATAATCGACATCAAAGTTGTATTTTAACTATTTTAATCAGGTATTACTTTATTATCATCACTTCATAATCGTCAACTTTTTGGCAGGCTAAATCTAGAAGTCGACCCCGATTTTTTGTTTTCGGTGTTCGATATTCTCAAAATCAGGGGATCAGCTCAGGATCAGCTCATTATCTTCAGATTTTTGAGCTACGACCCTTGACTTCTTGCTGTGGTACCTTCCTGCCGTGAAGAGAGCAGTGGCGGTTCTTGAAATTTGGCAGCATTGTTTTTCTTGCATTTCAGTCCATTAAAAATATCGCTTTGAAAAGAGAAAAGCTGCCTTGCTGTGAATCGATTGTTTTACGAGCATTTAAATGGAAGAACATCAGTGTTGCCAAGTTTTAAAAATACTCACTGAACAAAAGGTCCAAAGTAATGGTGCAAAGCGCCTCTGGGAGACTTAGCCGCAAAGCGGCCAGGGAAGACTCTCATTAGACAAAATGCATATTTTGATTTGCATCTCCAAATTCAAGCAACACCAAATTTATTACCTCTGACAGCATTTTCATCAAGATGGAGGTATAAATTGTGTCCTAGATCAGCCTTTGAAATTACATAGTTTCTAAACTTTAAAAATAAATCTCGTGAGCCAATTTCTGATAAAAAAATAAACGTCTACATGTACAATAATTATTAGAGTGGGAGGAAGTACTTTGTGAAACTATGTGAAATTATTTCCTCGACAGTAATTTTCCTAGCCGAAACAAAGTAGTTCAATGGAACGCGGGTGATTTTAATATTATGAGATCAATGATTTCCCTTAATAATACATGAACGAACTTGACAGCAAAAATCGTCGCTCCTCTGACTCCTCTTACTTCATTTTTTAGTGAGAGCATGAACAAGTCAATACTTGGCCTGAAATGTTCCTCTAATTTTCCTTTACCATTTAGTGGTCACACCACAAAAAGCCTAAACCATAACGTTCATTTGATTTTTTGCTGAAAATATGGTATGTGAAGAAATTTTCAAGAAATACAATATGGGTGTTTGATTTTGGTATATCACATTGGTACAAAAACGTATTTAATGTGTCTGTCATTTCATCAAAATTTTTCTCACGTTTCAGCCTTAAAATGTTGTCACCGTTCAACTTCTTCAACACGGAGGTTAAAATGCCTTAATTGAAACATTATGAGCAGAATAAAACTAACAATTTAGATCTTCGTCATCGTTGGCCTTAATTTCTGAATGATCTGGAGGAACCACGATATTTCCTAATGCGAAACACATAGCGTTTTTCAGATGCTACGCGTGTTTCTATACTTCAATGTCTCTACAATTTTGATATCCGCTCAGCCTGGAAGATCTCGAGCTCGAAATATCTTGAACCGTGAGAAACTTGAGTATCACTGGAAGCTTTTCGAGTCCGAACTTGGGGTGATGTTTGATCCTGATTTGGCCGTGCTTTCAGACGAAGACGTCCGTGTTTCGTCCCTTTTGCAAGAGTGAGGTAATCCCTCGTTCTGGAACACACGGAAAATAAATCAAGTATTAGGTCAAACCGTAAGATTACGTGAAGTACTGGGTGAGAAAATAAAATGTATCAACAATATTAATTCGAGTGGCGTCGTGTGTGTTGCTCCTTGGAGGGGATTCTTTGTAACATCGCTCCTCTCGTACGTACACTATCATGCTGAGGAACGGACAACATATACTGCCGTGCTAAGGAAAAACGCCGTATGAACCTTTAGGCGTTGCCAAATTTCTTTTGATAAAACACGAATTTCCCGGTAAACTTATGAATGTTTTCCTTCCAATTTTTCAGTAAATTTTGTTAAACGCATTGTGTACCACCCAAAGTCCCTGAAAATTTCAAGGAAAAATAATAATATTTTTTCTCAAAAATGAACATTTTATCGAAGGAAATTTGGCAACTCTCGAATGTTCATACGTCGTTTTTCCTTAGCACGGCAGCACAGACGTTCGAGAGTTGCAAAATTTCTCTCTCATTCTAGTTAGTAGTAGAGTTAGTTTACTATACAATTCTCCTTCAAATCAAATATTTTTATTTGAATTGGCCATTAGACAAGGTATAAACCAGAGATGAACACCACGTGTTCTCTCTTTAAAATTTTACGTAGAAAACGATCCACCTGACGAGAAGTATGAATGCTAACTTCTGGTAGAGAAACTACCACACATTTTTGACACGGATTTAAGGGAAGTTCGATTGATCAAATGCCGTCATGCATTTCTGCCATTTGACCATTGTTAACCAAACAATAATTTCTTAATCAGGAGTTGATTTCCAGAATTCTCGTCCTGCCATTCGTTCTCCCGTAAAATTTTAAGGAAAAAACGTGTGGCGTAGTGTTTTAACTCATATCTTGTCTAGAGGTCCATTGCGAACAAACTTGTCCGAAAAATGGAAATAGAAATATTCGCACATTTCCTAGAAAATTCGTGTTTCATCAAAGGAGATTTGGCAACGTCTGAAGGCTCATGCGGCGTTCTTCCTTAGCGTCTAGTTGAATAAGTTATTTAAAGGCAACAAATCCATTCTAAAAGGACATGCTAATTAAGATTCATCGGGGAATGGAACCGTTCCTTCTTGAAAACAACTGACTAGTTATGGTCATCTTTAATGTAGGAAATAAGGTTTACCAGCATGCGAGATTCTTCAAAGTTCTCTCCTCGGTGGAAAGACATCATTTAAAGTGGGCGATTTGGGTTGAAAAAAAGTGCGAAGTGGCAAGCACGGCACTTGCTTGTTCGGAGTTTTTATTCGTAGTACACCCATGATAATTAACTGGTCATGATAATTGGCCAGCAGTAAAGTCTAAGTCTGAATACCATAAATCACCAAGTACGAGTTGTAATGTCGTGCTTGTTAAGAATATTGTGCGCCGCGCTGTTCCGCAATCCTTGATTCGCTTCGTTAAAAACCCATTACAGGAAAGAGTAAAACAAATACAGAAAAGAACCTCAGAAAAATAAATCATATCAGTTTACAGAAATATTATTTCCTTAGAGACAGAACCTCACAATTTACCCAGGAGGATTTTAGGTCAAAATGAAAAACTACCTAATTTATACCTGTACAACAGGTCGTACTTGGCTGTTTAATTTTTGTCAGCTTGCTTATCCGGAGAGCGAGTGCTGCTTGAAACGTAAATTTATTTTGAATAAATTGCGAGAGATAAATGTTTTTTAGATTGTCGTTAGTTTCCAATTTGGCTGAAATAGAGTACACGCATCAAAAAGTATCTACGGCGAGTGAGAGAAAGGAGCTGATGTTTGAACGGCGGTTTGTTTATATATGACACATTAGAGAGGTTTTGAAGGGTAAACATGACTTGGAAAAGTAAAAGTACCCAAAGGAAGTGCACTCTGCTTTAAAGTGGCTTTTCATTTCTGAAATCGTCACCAGCCACATTGGAGCAGTTACACCAGGCAATGAACGGGAGAATGCCGTATAGCGCGCGCTTCAGGAGCTGCTAAATCCCCCCTAATAAAACTGTAATTTTTAGGCAAAGTTAGGATATGGATATTTTTCTATCAGATTTCACATGCTTTGAATCGAATCCCGAGTAAAATTCTCTGAAAATCAGGGAGAAAAATATTTAACAGATTCCTTGAAAATTCGTATTTTATCGGAAGAAATTTGGCAACACATGAAGATTCATACGGCGTTTTCCCTTTGCACAAAATAATACTTACCCAAATATAAGGGCGGGTTATTCGTCCGTCATTCTTAAATACGTTCAGACAAAGTCGTAACAAAGTAAGATTACTGGAAGGTCATATTAGATACAATTTTTTCACTTGAGTTTATAAACATTAACCTTTGAAGTTGAATCAGTTTTAGTAAGTTAACAAACGAAAGATTTAGTTAAATTATATGATAATATTAATTTGTCAAATTAAAGTTAGGATATTAAAGGTGCAAGGGAATCCCTATGCTGAAAATGACGAGTAGGCTATTCAGAATTCGCCAACTCACATGAATAGAGATTCCTACTTATATGAGTAGAAATCCTACTCATATATCACCGAACTGTGTTTGGCGCAGTGCGTGAAGTATCCCTACAGTCCTGTAGGCGCTATCCCTGCTAAAAATGACGAGTACGCAATTCAGAATTCGCCAACTCACATGAATAAAACTTCCTACTCATATGAGTAGAAATTCACTCATATCACTAGAATATCTACTCATAAGAGTAGAAAAGTTCAACTCATATGAATTCAATTTTTTTCATTTTTCAGAAGTGCCGTTTCTAACCAGGAGACACCGAATAAGTACGTAAATTTGAAAAATAAAAACGTTTTGTCCTTATGATTTTTTTGATGCCGAGACTAGTTTCTGAGATATCGGACACAGTAGATTCAACGCTGAACTCGTGTGAGTTGAAATCTCTAGTCATAGGAGTTGGCAAAAACTGGATAGAGAAATTCTGCTCATGTGAGTTAAATTCTATTCATATAAGTTGAAATTCTATTCATATGACTTTGATTTTCCACTCATTTGTACTCACCATTTTTAGCAGGGTGTCGGCGGTAAACTTTGATTTCAGACGAACATTAATTTGCCTAAGAGGATGCGTTTTGTAACTTTCGTTCATATTTGGGGGGAATAATGATTCTAATCGATTGCAAAGCTAAGGAATCGATCGCAACGGAGATAGGCTGGTTTAAGTTAGGTCACGCAACTAAACTAACCTTATGGCAGAGCAAGAAGTATCACTCGAATTGAAGGCGCCTCAATTCTCCCTTCGTGAAGAGATTCATGTGGCTCATATGAGTGAAATTCTATTCATTTAAGTTGAAATTCTATTCATATGAGTTAAAATCCTATTCATATGACTTCGATTTTCTACTCAACTTTACTCCCCATTTTTAGCAGGGAATTCCCTCGCAAAGAGTCGCAAACGCATTTTTCATTCTTTCTTTTTCGAAGCAGGACGATAGTCAATTCACGTAAGACGATTTAGCGGTCAAGAATCCGGGATCAGCGACCCTTGGTAAGTTGGTGAGGACAGGAGGCTTTATCGGGGGTGGCGTGTCGTCGAGGCGGAAGTACAAAGCTGACGGAGGCGCGGATCTAATGGCACGAATGAAGAATCGAAAATCAAAAGGGAGGAAGCCGATGGAGACGCGGACTCAAAAAAGGATATATGAGAGAGCGGTGTCTAATCGAATCAGGAGGATAAAGGGACCGATTCCGCGAGCCCGAGGAATCGCATCGTCACGCTTCGCCGAGCGCCCGGCCCAGGCTCGGCTCCGGCTAAAAATGTGCATATCAAATATTTTCGGAAGTGTCTCGCGGCATTGAAACCTTCGGCGTTGCCGCGTGGTCCATGCTACCGTACGAGGGAAAAACGGCGTATGAACATTCTGCCGTGCTAAGGAAAAACGCCGTGTGAGCCTTCAGACGTTGCCAAGCTTCCTCTGATAAAAACCGAATTTACTGGGCAAAGATTTTCTAAAATTTTCAGACAATTTTGTGGGCAATTCAATCTAAAATATCTGAGAATTTCGAGGAAAAATATCCATGAATGTTGTCGAAAATGCATGTTTTATCGAGGAAAATCTGGCAACTCTCGAATGCTCATACGGCGTTCTTCCGTAGAGTCCCTTTACACTGAGAGTCAAGACAATGTGAATCCATTTCTGATTGGTTCCCGTATTTTAGGCCTTCACAATGTCACAAACGAGAGTAAATATTACATTTTCATCGATTGCAAATATTATAATCTGGAATGGATCAGGGAATTACGGGTTCGGCAAGGAACAAACGGAATGAGAGAAGGAACGGAGGAAGGAATTTGAGAATGGGCCGATCAAAGATTACGAAAAACGTTCAATTTCTGTAATCTTTATTCCCGTTTGTGACTCCAGGAAGGGGTGTTGTCTTGACTCTCAGTATAAAGATACTCTATTGTGCTCCACGCTACCGTGTGAGGGAAAAACGGCGTATGAACTGAACATTCGAGAGTTGCGAAATTTCTCCAAATGCACGGGAAAACGGATTGCTGATTTAACAATTAAATTGTTGAAAAATATGTCCGACAAGTACCAAATATGTCCAATGTACGTTTTACAATAGCGAAAAACTAATTTAACCGGCATGTTTCTATTGTAAAATCTACATTGAAACATGTCGGAAACTCTTTTTAACTAGAAAATTGTCAGATCAGCAATTTCATTTTTTTTTCGCGTGGAACACACTTTTTTGTAGAAAGTATGCGTATTTTTCCTTGAGATTTTCAGGAATTGTATATTTACTTACGGACAAAATTGTTTCTAAGTTTTGATTTTCGATTTCATCCAATGTCACGAATTTTGCATCAGACCTCGATTAATACGGACTTTTATAAGTTTTGGTAGTGTATATTGTTAGAGGAACTCCTTGCGTAACGCCATAAAAATTTGAAATCGGTCCATTACTAACGCAACGAAAATGAATTTTGAAAAACATGCTCCACTGAAAAAATGGAAATGGCACGTGATCACGCGTCCAAAT